TTAAAATAAAAATATATGGAAGAATAGAGATTTGCATATAGATTTTGTCAAGTACATTAGAAGAGGTTTCTCAATGTATTGATGAGTGCAATCAAAGTATAGTGGATGTCTAATACACGGACGTGTGCATCACAAACTAGAAGAATCTCTACACAACGCATAAACATATCAATGTGCATAATTTTATACTCTAATTGTATTAACTACCTGATTACGTGTAATAGAATAGATGTTGTAGTACCCTGTTTGCCAATCTTTTATGTGTTACAACATCATCTCACGAAGTTATTTATTTTGATTTCGCAATTTTTTGTATAAGCAATAATTAATTTGGATATTGTCGCTGAACTTTAAATCATCCAACATTCATTGTGTTCTCACCCAAAAGTTTAAACAAGATTTTGGAAATTTACATACTAATGAGGTGGACAAAGAATACTAATCAGCTTGTTGACACTATTAGTTTCATTTGATGTCTATGATGTCGAGATGTTTAGATTGCATGATCTTAATCGTGCACTTGAGATGATTCAAGATCCAGCTAGACTACTATAAGAGGCGGACGAAAAATTGTAATCAACTTCTGACAAGTATTACAAAATATATACTCATGAGACACATAAAGATAAAAAAAATATATACTCCAATGTCACGTTGTTGTGAATGAACAATTTTCTAACCAATAAATTTTCAAAATATTTGATACTACTAGTAAAAAAAATCATCAATACAATTCAAATACTATTTCCAGGGATAAAATAAGCATTTAAAGAACTTATTTTAAAGAAAAGTACATCTATTAACTTCTCGAAAAGTGGATATGTAACTTCTCCGAGGTACATGAGTCGTGTATCTTGCGAAGCCCCTTTTGTCCGGAGCGAGGAAGCTGGCTCGAATCCCCCAGGTGTCGCTGGGGGGGGGGGGAGATTGTTGGTCTTATGGGGGGTCATCGATCACCCATAGGGATTCGCTATCGTGTAATGACAACCCAACCTGACGAGGTACATGAGTCGTGTATCTTGCGAAGCCCCTTATGTCCATCCACCGCTCAGTAGTGGGGCTCCGCACTGCCGTAGTGAACTATAGGGGGGTGCCCTATAGGAATCTACCTCGGCTTGGGGCTATAGAGAGATGTGGTAAAATACAAAGTGTCCACCTTCATATCACCAATTGGTTTTAGGAAGCATTTGACACCTCTTTAACTTCAGAACTCTATAGTTAAGCGTGCTGGAACGGGAGTAGTCCCACGATGGGTGACCCACTCAGGAGTTCTAGAAAACGATCCTACATTTTGTCCCAAAGAAACTGCGCACAAAGTATCGAGTCTAGTACCTTAAAAGATTTCGTTGAAAACGTCATATTGACCAATAACATTTAGGGTGTTGTTCAAACATGCAACACCAAAGAAAGCATGCCAAATCTAAAGATCTTTCGAGGCAGCAGCTTCTAGCATGATTGCGGGATGTCTGTGATGTTAGAATAAAGGACCAACGCTAGAGGGGGGGTGAATAGCGTTTGATCGTAGAAATCGCAGGAATAAAAAAATAGGAACGTGAAACGTAAAGAGCGTTGAAAGCGTAAAGGGAGCACACCAAGATTTATACTCGTTCACCACAACGTGTGGCTAATCCAGTCTCCCGAGAGACTCTCTCAAGCTACACTACTTCCGTTAAGCTTACGGGTGCTTAACAAACCGTTACAACCTGAGAACTCGAGTCCCATGAGCCTCAACAACACTTGCTCAGAGATCCTGCACTCCAAGACTTCAACCCGAAGGAAAATACCTTTCCTTCGTACAACCAAGGGAAACAAGCTTCCCTTAACGTGTATACAACACTAAACACTCAAGAACAAGACTCTCTTTAAGAGTAGATGATGAGTAAACTAAGTATGCTCAAGAACAACTCAAACTTCACACAATTTGGCTCTAGAAAGCTATGGAAAATGATGTTATTTGAATGCAATGAAAGTATGAATATTGTGAAGTGAAATTGGTGTGTAAAGCAGACCCAAACACCCCTTTTTATAGTGCAAAAATAGGCTCCAACGGACCAATGCATTAAAGGGGTGATTGGCTTAATTTATGGGATTGAAAAGATTTGGGATCTGCAGGATATTGGCTTCCCATCGATGTTTGGAACTTACCCATCGCTGGTAAGCCAATTTTCCTTCAGTTTTGAAGCCAACGGTTACCTACCCATCGCTGGGTGGGAGGTTGACTTCCAAACAAGGAAAGAATCAGCCTTAAATGACTCACAACGGTCATGCCTTCCCAGCCATGGGTATGTCCTCCCATCGCTGGTTCCCATCGATGGGTAAAGGTTCCCATCACTGGGTAAGGGTATTCTGCCTTGTGATTATATTGGTCCAAGGCTTGAACAACGATGGGTAGAGCTTCCCATCGCTGTTTGGCATGGTTTTGGAATTCAATTGGGCTGAAGGCTGCTTACCCATCGCTGGGTAATATCTCCCATCGCTGGGTGGCATGATTCTGGAATCCCGGAATCACTTACCCATGGCTGGGTGATATCTACCATCGCTGGGTAGATGGCTAGCCCAGAACCATGGCCTAGCCGACCGGTGCTAAAACCCGACCGAAAAATGCAAAGTTCTCCAAAGTAAAAACTAAGTATATAAAACACTTATTTAATGTATTGTGATGTCAAAACAAGCTTTGTAAGTTGAAAACCACGTCGTTAAGGTAAAAACCACGGTTGACCAAGTCAACACCGTACATGGGTGGTTTTCACCAAAAGACAAAACCGAAAGGTGGTTTTCATGATGTTTTGATTGGGGAACCATTTTAATGCATTCAAAAACAATTTCCACACAAAAAGACTCGAAAACCACTTTCTTTAAGTAAAATCCACGGCTAGCCAAGTTTATGTCGTTTCACATGGTTTTTATCAAACGACAAAAAACGAAAGGTGGTTTTTGAAGTGTTTTTAATGAAAAACTATTTAAATGTGCCCAGAAGTAAAAAAAATCATAAAAAGTAGAAAACCACTTGGTTGGTTCGGACGCCAAAAACCAACACCGAAAACCGAATGCCGAACACCGGTTTCTGAAACCCGAACGCCGGATGGCTTGGTTTTTTGTTTGGGCGAAAACCAAGTGTTTTTAATGTTTTAAACATGTTTGAAAAACATTTTTATGATGTGTGAAATGCAATGAAAAGAATTTTAGCCTAAGGAGCCAAGGTATAAAGGTTGGGTCGGTCTTGATCACAATATTGACCGACTCAACGACACTAAGACTACGGTCTTCGTTCTTGGTCTTCTTTTGGCCCTTGTTCTCTTTCTTCTCATCTTTGGTTCTCGCCTTGTATATTCAATGACTTGTCTCGTTCACGGAGGTTTGGCATTATTAAAACCTGTCATAACAACGAACACGGCTTTAGTACGAAAATGTGATAAACAAGTGTTTCAACAATTTCCCTCTTTTTGATAATGGCAAACAAGACGGGGTTATGCATAGGAGGATTGATTTGAGACTTAAAAAATGTTCCCCCTTAATAAATACAATTTTCTTTTCAACAAAGTTTTTGTGTTGAATAAGAGTTAGTTTTAGAAATAGTTCCCCCTCAATCTATGCATAACCTTTATATCTTCCCCCTTTTGACGTTAACAAAAAGAATTAAAAGTAAACTTTTATTCATTAAAAGGGAAATGAAGAATACAACGGATAAAAATACAATCATAAAGAAGATGTCGTGGCGTCGGTGTTGGCCTTTTTCTTTGAAGCCTTGGTTTTGGTCCTTGACTTTCCTCTGGCCATTGTTGAAGCGTTTAGACAGTGAGTAGAGGCTTAAAGTATGCAAGAGGAATGTGAATTGTGTGTTAAAAATGACCAAGGATGGTTAATATTTATAGGAAAAGAGAATTTGGGCCCTTGGTGTTAAAAAATATGGCTGTTGGGCATTGAATGAGGTGCCCAACGGCTATGATTTTTGAACTGCAACAGGCTTCCAAGCGATGGTTAGGTTCTCCCATCGATGGGAAGACCGGTACTGGAAAGGGAGGAAAAAAGTGAAGGCAGCCTTCTCAGCGATGGTAAGGTTCTCCCATCCATGGGAAGACAGCTACTGGAAATCCGTTAAATTTTTTTTTAAAAAAAAGTGTCAACCACCCAGCGATGGGAAGAAGTTCCCATCGATGGGAAGAGGGCTGCGGGTTAGAAAATACTTCCTTCCCAGCGATGGGATAAACCATCCATCGCTGGTTCCCCCTGAGTTCCTCACTTTGATACGTACCTGCAAAAAAGCAATACTTTGGTACCCAAAGTATGTCTATGGGTCCTTGGAGGTTAGTTAACCTTTATTGCCCACACACACACCCAAAATTCGTTTCCTTACACGCACACACACCCGATTAGATGATCGTTTAGGAATTACCTTGGCCAACCCATGATCTCGTGGTTGGCGGGTTCCAGTCTACCTGAACGGAGTGCCGATATCTCGGTGTGGTCTGTGTTGTTTCCGGTAACGGAATGTGGACTTTCTTCTTTTCGTCAAAGTAGAAGAAATAATACGGTTTCTTTTGTGCACTTTCTTGTGGAGATTGCCTATGATACGAATATCCTTTTCTAAAGGATTTCTTTTCGTTAGCACCAAAAATGTTGTGTGTTTCATTATAGGTGGAGTGCCTATGTTTGGTAAAACATACGGGAGCTATATGTCCTACCCTATTGCAATAATGGCATACTACGTTTGGGTTGAACATATGCCTAGGTTGATAATAGCTAGGGGGTCTAACCATATTCATCCTATTTTGAGAAAAGGATGGTTTATGCACGTTTTCAAAAGAATCATTTCTAGGTGTCCTCATGTTATTTCTCCTATTTTGAGAACAATTATTATTATGCACAAAATTATTTTTCTTAGGTTGTCTACCATGAACATTTTCATTCCTAGGTTTTAGTCTAGGTGGTCTAGTGTCCTTAGGTTGACTAGGTTTTCTATTATCCTGATTTTTAGGTTTCTTACGTTGAACCTTAGATGGTTGTCTAGGTGGTGGCTCAACGTTTTCTTTAACCTTAGCGTCATTTTTATTGAAACCTATTCCTTCCTTAGAAAAATGCATGGTGTCAAGGAGCAAATTTAAATCTTTGTGCGGAGTATTAAATTTCTTGACCGTACTCTCAAGTTTTGTGACTTGTTCCTCTAAAGCTTTGCAAGATTCACATT